GTTTTTTTTCATCCAAAAAGAACGTCCCTCGCTTAGTTTCGGAATTCTGAATTTCACTCGCTGTCGAATAAGCTTTTTTTTCTTATCAAAATGTAACGAAGCTATCAACTCTTCCCGGTTCTGGTCTCCGGACAGGACTCCGGCGGGTATTATTTATTACGCGAATAAATACGGAACTTAGTCGGACGCGCGGTTCCGACTAACGGTTGGAAGAGTTGGCGTTCTTTCGGTCGGTGTTTGACGTGCTGTGTGTCGGTTTAAATAAATCCTCCGTTCCTCTGATTTGCCGAATATGCTCAGCTCCAGGGCCGTCGAGAGGAAAGGAGGAAAAGATCTTACTTACTGGTAGTGTGGTAATCGCTTGGAAGGATCGGAAATAAATCGGACAGGTGTTTTAAAGGTAGAGAACGATAGGAGCGTGTTTTATTCAAGGATTGATACACGGAATGGAGGTAATTACAATAGGTCCGCCCTGTGATTAAAATATAAAAGGAAAAGAAAAGGATTAGTGATACAATGAGTCCGCCCTGTGATTAAATACAAGAAAAAGGAAAGGATTAGTCGGATTATATCGATATACAGAAAGTACGCAACGGGAATCGAGATACAGGAATATTAATGTGATTATACGGATTTCTAGTAGTGTACAGAAGGTACGCACTGGCTCGGAGTACAGGAATGTATGATTATTAAAGTACGCAAACGGATAATATGATACGGATAATATACGGGATAATTTATACTGGATAATACGGATAATATGCTGGCCACAACGGAAAGGATGTCTGTACGGAATCCTCTGGTTCGTAACAGGAAAAACAGTGACGGAATTAATTCTACGGAAGCCTACGCGCCAATTAGAACTAATTCCCACCCGAATATTCCCCCCTGAGCTCTACACCGGTCAGGAAGCAGGAAAGGGATCAGGTCAGGTCAGGAACACGCTCGAGCAGCGCCTCGATATGCGTGAATTTCAGTAGTGATTGTACACCGAGGAGCACCCCGTTAGGTGTACGCTACTGCGGGATTACTCCGTCCCCTCGAGACACGGCGCGGCGCCGGACCGAAATTGCAAACGGAATTACCCGCGGTCATCCTGCAGTGGCGCGCCTTTCCATACGTTTACACTGCAGATATTACAAAAATGTATCGACAAATTCTCGTTGACCCCCGCGATGTCGACTTCCAAAGGATTTTATGGAAGTCGGACGCTTCGGAATCATCCCGAGCGTTCCAACTCCTGACGGTAACGTAAGGAACGGCGTGCGCTCCATTCCTCGCGCTCCGTGTAATCAAACAATTAATCATCGACGAAGGTCGAAATTTTCCGTTGGCTTCAGACGTACTCACCTACCAAATTTATGTCGACGATGTCCTTTTCGGTGACAACAACCCGACCCGGCTCAAGCAAACTCGCGATCAACTTAACGAACTGCTCCGTCGGGGAGGATTCGAATTGCGAAAATGGGCGAGCAATTCAGCTTCACTCTTAGCGGATATAAGCCCGACCAACCACGGTCTCACATGCAAAAAACCATTTTAGAGCGACGAAAATCTGAAGATACTCGGGATCAGTTGGAGCCCCGCGTCGGATGTTTTTTCGTTTCGCGTGCAAACCATCGGCGAATGCCCGCGGTCAAAGCGACTGATTCTTTCGACCATAGCAAAATTATTCGACCCGCTCGGCTGGGTAACTCCTGTAACGATAAAGGCAAAGATTTTCTTACAATTATTGTGGCGTCTTAAAGCCGATTGGGACGACGAAATTCCGGAAGAGCATTTCGATAAATGGCGCACCATTTACCATCATCTTACCGAATTGAATAATCTCGAGCTTCCTCGCTGGATAGGAACCGACGCGACCGCGACTCTCTCGGAGATTCACGGATTCGCCGATGCATCGTCAGTCGCCTACGCCGCTGTAGTCTACCTTAAAACTGTCTCGAAATCCGGCAAGATCACGATCTCGCTCTTAACAGCGAAATCTAAAGTCGCACCCGTAAAACCTCTGAGCATACCCCGACTCGAGTTGTCAGCCGCGGTCCTTCTGTCCAGGTTGATCTGTTTTGTTCAATGCTCGCTTCGAGTTGAGATTTCGCGCTGTGTCTGTTGGACCGACTCGACCATTGTACTCGCGTGGCTCAAGCAGCATCCATCACAGTGGAAAACATTTGTAGCAAATAGAGTCAGCGAAGTTCAGACTAACGTTCCGGCCGCATCTTGGCGCCATGTGCCAACGCAGGGTAATCCTGCCGACTGCGCATCGCGTGGATTGCTCGGCAGGGACTTAAAAGGGTTCAAGTTATGGTGGCAAGGTCCGAACTGGTTACGGTGTTCGCCGGACAATTGGCCGACTAACGTCGCCACCGCTCATTCCGATGTAGAAATGGAACACAAAAGAGTTGTGCATTCCGCGATCCCGCTCCCGGAATGGGATCTCATAGATAAATTTTCGTCTTGGCTAAAGCTGATTCGCGTTACCGCGTATATCCAAAGGTTCATTAGTCGCTGTCGGGGAGTCGGAACAAAGAACTCAGCCTTGACCTCTCACGAAATTCAACGCGCCAAAGTGTTTTGGCTTCAACACGTTCAAAGCACTTTGTTCTCCCAAGAACTTAACGCTCTAAAAAATCAATGTCAAATCTCGAAGAAAAGCGCCCTTCTCTCACTTCACCCGTTCCTCGATGAGGACGGGCTTCTGCGAGTCGGTGGGCGATTAAAAAACGCCCCGATTCCATTCGCCACTCGACATCCGATCGTGCTCGCCTCGCACCCGCTCGTGAGTCTTCTCATCCAACATATTCATATCCGGTCGCTCCATGCCGGCTTGCAACTAACTCTAGCGACGTTGAGACGAGAGTATTGGGTCGTGCGCGCTCGCACGGTCGTTAAGGCAATCCTCTTCAAATGTGTAACGTGCACCCGCGAAAAGGCGAGTTCTCCGTCCCAGCTTATGGGAGATCTTCCAGTGTCGCGCGTTACTCCACCCGCACGAAGCTTTCAGCACTGCGGCATCGATTACGCCGGTCCTGTGGTGGTTCGCACTTCTGGGGGCCGCGGCGTGAAATCAAAAAAGGCCTATATCGCCTTATTCGTTTGTCTCGCGAGCCGAGCCATTCACTTGGAGCTGGTCGGCGATTATACGACCTCGGCGTTTTTAGATGCATTCTCGCGGTTCTGCGCTCGTCGAGGATTGCCGGAATCGATGCATTCTGATAACGGTACTACGTTCGTCGGCGCTGATCGAGAGCTGCAACGGGCGTATCAGGCTGTGCTTCGCGATCCCAACTTTCAGAACACTACCGCTTCCGATCGTATTACATGGCATTTTCTGCCTCCATCCGCACCGCACTTCGGCGGATTGTGGGAGACAGGGGTGAAGAGCGTGAAATATCATCTCCGACGGGTTTTAAAGAGTGATACGCTCACGTTCGAAGAGTTCTCCACACTGTTATGCAGGATTGAGGCGTGTCTTAACTCACGGCCCCTCGCGCCGATCAAGGACACTCCGGACGATTACAACACCTTAACCCCCGGACATTTCTTGATCGGCTCCGCGGTTAATGTCAGTCCCGAGCCATCCGTGTTAGACGTAAATGAAAATCGGTTGTCCCGTTGGCAACGAGTTCGGCAATTGACGGAGGGATTTTGGTGCCGATGGCAAGACGACTACATCAATACTTTACAGCAACGCAGTAAATGGAGAACGTTGCAATCTCCAGTGAAAGTCGGGCAGTTCGTGTTGTTGAAAAATTCCACGCTTCCACCCTGCAAGTGGGAGCTCGGGCGAATCACTCAGTGCCATACCGGAGCCGACGGACTTGTCCGCGTAGTTACCGTCAAGACCGCCGGCTCTGAGTTTAAGCGACCCATCGTCAAAATCTGCTGTCTTCCCGTCGACATCGAGAAACAGTAAGAGCCCAGAGCCGATTTAAGTATAATGTCTTTTCAAATATTTCTTTTGTTTCGTCGCGCCATATGTCCGTGCCCGCAAATTGAGGTGAAAACTTTATATTATTCGTCCTAGACAATAATTAATGTGCATGTCGTTTCTTGTCTCTGTTTCAGAGGGCACGGCGGGCGGATCTTGCCGTACCGCTCAAATTGAAACTGACGTTTCAAGACGGGCGGTATGTTCGAGATTGCTAGCGGATCGGGTCGCTAACGCGAGTCGCGGGACGGGTAGAGCACGTGCCGATCAGCTGATCAGTGCTCGCTGCGGTAAAGCGTTCGGCGCGCGCGGTACCGGACCGACAGGTCGTCAACCTCGTTTTTGGCCGCGGCGAATCATATTGCTCCGCGTCACATTCCCTCTCTTGTTTTCGGAGAACAAAGACGTACAGCTCGATCGGCGCACGTCTAATCGTTAGCGGACACTGTCATTTCGATTCTCGTGTCAAACAGTCACGTTCCGAGGTATTACCGCGATTTTAGCATTCGTTCCGCGTTGAACTACCAAATCAGTGCTATATCTTGCGCATATCTCGGGTTCTTCGTTCGCGAGTTACAGAGATCACGCGAATAGTGCTCGTCTGTCTTCTCGGTCTATTAACTGTCCGCCGTCAGTTGAGTCAATTCAAATTATTAATCCTTGTTCTTATTTCCATTTATATTTTGTTACTAATGTTCCTTTCTTTTTTATGTAATAAATTAAAAGTAGGTTCACGAGGATGAAAAGTTCGACAAAGCTCAACGACTAATCTCTGAGAGCCGGCGTTAATTTCTGAGTGAACTTTTACATCCTGTAATTGACCTCTGGGTCCATCACGCGGTTCATCCCAGTTCTCCTTCCATCCACATTCTTAGGGTCATATCCCAGCTAAATCTTATCCGTTCAAATTCCTCCTTTGGCTCGATCAACGATCGGTGTGTTTTTTTGAGAAAAGTGAATTTGAGAGCATTATATCGACCGCAGATATTTTTATTGCCACGGGACACCTACGGACATTAAGTTTCGCGCTTCCGAGCTCGTCTCGACTATCATTTCGCGCTTCATTCGAGGCGGTTCCGGGTATTCGTTTCGGCCTGAGGCGATCCTCAGCGCATACGAAACACTCACTAACGCTAACAAACAAACATGTCACCTACTCCTCCAATCCTTTTCCTTCTACAGACTTTATATCTACTGAAGTCATAATTACAGCTGACTCCTTCCCAGAACCTTCCACACATGACACAGTAAATAACAAGTGGTTGATAAATCTATCTCCTATACAAATACCACCACAAGTACAAAGTCTGCTACAACTGGCTGAACGTTTTTGCTTACCAGTAATTAATAAGAACAAAATTATCCCAGAAGTAATCAAATCGATTGAAAACAACGTCCACAGATTCCCAATAGACAAAAGGGAAATAATTAGAGGTAGATCTTTCCCGATAATTAATAACATAGCTTATCATATCAACCATACATCAGAAAATGAACGTTTCCTGCTTGATTCCGTCCAAAAGACGAGAGACTTTCTCCATGATAACCCTAACATCATAGTTACTAGAGCTGACAAAGGCCACACCACTGTTATCATGGAGAGAGATATGTACACAAATAAAATGTTAACCCTACTAAATGATAGAGAGACTTATAATATTGTTAAGAAAGACCCTACAAAAAAACTAATTGGGAGTCTCCACGAATTGCTCGCAAGATGGAAGAAAATGAATTATATTGATGAGACCACTTATAAAGGATGCAATTTCACCGATGGGACCTTACCGAGAGCTTACGGTCTGCCAAAAATACACAAGACGGGTTACCCACTGCGGATTATTGTCTCGTCAGTCAATACTCCGCTTCACACGTTTTCCACCTTTCTGCATAAAATCATTTATTCGTCAGTTCCTAAACCTGACAGCCACATCCTCAATAGTTTTGAATTAGTAAATAAATTAAACGGACTCCACTTAGAGCAAGACTACGATATCATACCGTTAGATGTGATATCTTTCTTTACGAATGTACCTATAGATTTAGCAATAGATAGTATTTCAAAACGATGGCAATATATTAGACAAAAATGCTCTATCCCATGTAATGAGTTTTTGATGGCTGTAAGGTTTATACTGAATTCTACATATTTTTCTTTTAATAACTGTGATGTATGCGCGTGATAAACGCGCGTGACAATAGCGTGGCCTCTGACGTCACGTATGTCCCGGCGGGCGTTTCGCGATCGGAGCTGCTCCGATCATTGCGCCGGTACGGCACTCTCGGTGTGCCCGGCAGTACGTGCACACATGTATTATAATAAACCACACTTATAGTTATTGCTACGTCTCATTATCATTTATCGCCGTTACCCACGTGCCAGTATATCCCGGAGCGGATACACAGCAATAACACTTTTTACAAACAAACATTTGGCACTCCGATGGGCTCCCCATTATCGCCGATCATAGCAGACATCACGATGCAGGACCTCGAGATCAGAGCACTCGAGGCCTTGACATTCGTTCCTCCATTTTATGTCAGGTACGTCGATGACATTGCTATGTCGGTTCCCTCCTTTTTAAAAAACACGACACTAAATACATTCAACTCTCAGCATAATAGAGTTCAGTTCACACTAGAGGAAGGAACGGACAAACACTTAAATTTCCTTGACACCACAATTATTGTTAAGGATAACGTGATAGAATTCGATTGGTACCATAAACCACCATTTTCGGGTCGGTATCTTAACTACTCATCGTCTCACCCCCTGACACACAAAATGGGTACCATCAAATGTCTCACTGATCGAGCGATATTCTTATCTCATCCAAGATATCAACAAAAAAACCTCAAATTTGTAATAGACATTTTATTACAAAATGGATACCCCCTCTCTCTCATCTTCCAATTAATTATAGAGAGAGTAAACACCATCCAAAGAAACCAAAAAACGAGGACTATTACAAACACTAACATAAATACAACTAACAACGAAAAGAGCAGATATTTCAACATCCCGTATATACCCAACGTATCTGAAAAGTTCATACATGTGGTCCAAGATCTGAACAAAAAACTGTCATATACAGGCCTCCATAAACTAAGTGAATTTATCAGAGTACATAAAGACCCACTCCCAACACCCTCTCACAATGACGTAGTATACAAAATTTCCTGTTTAAACTGCAACGCCTTTTTTTTTTTACGTGTGGAAATCCTTTATGGATACCCGGGCCCCCCTCTGGGAAGGGAGTTTACAAATGGCCCGGGTTATGTGGGACTGCCCCCCTAGTGTCGATCGGGGTGCT